GGAGTAGTAGTAGTAGTAGTAGTAGTAGTAGTAGTAGTAGTAGTAGTAGTAGTAGTAGTAGTAGTAGTAGTAGTAGTAGCTTTAGACGTGTATGGTGAGCAAGTGTGCGAGTGCGATGATGACGACGGTAGCGGCGACGACGTCGTCGGCGGAGGCTTGAACGGTGGCCGCCGCGGGGGAATCATTTGTTTCCCATGTGTATTTGGGTGCCAATCCTTCCCGTCATTATACGCGGGTTTTCTAAAGACCGACTGCGGTTACTTCAACCGCTCTCATTGGTTGCTCGTAGTCTCCAGTCTCCACTCGAACCGAGCGCGAGGGGCGAGCTGCCGCCCTTCCTCCACCCTCCATCCTCCCCTCCCCCTCCCGCCCTCATTGCCCCTCTTTGCTCCTCCTCCTCCTCCTGTCCTCCTCGACCTCCTCCTCGTCGTCCTCCTCCTCCTCCTCCTCCTCCTCTTCCTCCCTCCTCGTCCCTCCTCGTCGTTCCTCCCTTCCTCTGCCGCCAACCCCCCTCCCCCTCCCGTCTGGCGCGCGCTGGCGCGCTCCTGGAGGACTCGGCCAAGACCTTGTCTGGCAGCCTCGGCCTCAAGACGGGCGTGCTCAAGTGCTGGGACCCTACGGAGAGCGGGCGCAGCATCGCCCAGCGGCTCCTCCCACCCCAATCCAGAGGGACCGATGCTGTCACCCCGCGCCCATTCTCCCCTTTTTCGGCCTGCCGGGATGCCCTTGTCGCTTCCGCTGTATTCGCCTCGAACTCCTGGTCAGAACGCACTCCGGGAGAAGTCCAGGGAGTAGCGGTGTCGGTGCCTTTGGTTTCCAGGGGGGCAAGCTAGGTGCGTTCGCGCCATGTCTGCCATCCTGCCTCTGCCACCCATCCCTTCCCACTGCGCGGACTTCTTTTTCTACCCGGCGGCTTGGGTGTGGCCTCGTTCCCCCGCGCATGGCCTTGTCTTGTCATGCGTATCAGAACTGGGGCTTCGCAGATCGGACGAGAAAGATGACGTGGCGGATGGGCAGGAAGATGAGCAGTCAGTTCATAACGGGTTATGAGTGTCAGCAGTAGTGGGTGAAGGAGGAGCATGAGAGCCAGGCGAAGTTGGAGGAGGGCAGCGACGAGGACCGACGAGAAACACATCTACGAATCCAACAAATAACGTTAAGGAACTTCGAGAAACGACGAGGAACAACGAGGAACGATGATGAGGAGAAGGAGGGACAGGATGACGTGGTGTCGACAAGGAACGAATCGGATCCAGAAGGCCGTACGGGGACGACGGCGCAAATCTGAACGACTGGAACACCTCGCCGATCTTGAGCTGCGGCCAACGCTGCAGTGGGACACCACGTCTCAAGGACTGAGGAACTTCCGATTAGAAGCAACATATCGGAAGCCAAGTCGGGACAATCCTGCGTAGACACGGTATGTGGAATAGGCGGGGCACGATGTAGTTTCACAGGAGGGGTACCTTTAGTATTAATATTGAGCAAGTGTGGATGCGCAGGCCAGTACGATGGTACACATATGTGTACATGTATGTATGTGTATATGTGTGCAGTCCCCATTGATGATAATGACGAGTGGTCAGGACGCAAGACCCGTGGACGCCAATGTTGGAAGTTCTAAGTGGCGCATGGCAAGCATCCCATGAACGCAAGGGTATCCTAACCGACCCCCGTCAATGCCGAACGGGCGCCTGACCGACAGCGATAACAGCGCATATGGGGAGGTTGGTCAGCAAGACTGGCTAAGGATGGGCCGAACAGGGAAGGCCGCAAGGACACCCTTGGATTTTTGCTCGTCCTATTATCGAGCTTGACTGTATGCATTGTAATATAGTGGTATGTAATGTAATGTTATGCTGGCATCGTTGTGCATTCTTGCTTCTGCTTTGCGCGGGCGAGGTTCAAGCTGAAGCTCTCCCCCCCGCTCACCTTCGTGGTTGCCAATGCCAACAAACCGCGTGTCGTGAACATGGTCGGGGTGTCCAAAGCGGAAGACCTGGAGAAGAAGTTGAAACCGGTGCTTTGCCGCCCTTCAGTGTATCACTTTCGTGCCGGGTGCCCATTCTGGTTTTTGGTGCGAGCTGTTGCCCATTGTCCACTGATTGCTGTCACCTTCCATTGGACTGGTTCTGCGCACACTGGTGTTTGCTGCATGTGTTATACTGCTCCTG